TAAGATTGCCTTTTTGATTTTTGTGTGGCAGAGAAATGGTTGATGCGCTTAATTACGACTGAATGATTTTTATGAATTTTATTTTTTTTTTATAAAAACGAAAAATGAAGCGAACTTTTTTGATTGCTTCGCAAAATTCAACAATAAAAGTCACTCAGGTTAGAAGCCCAAGGAAAACAAAAGATAATATTGAAGTGACACTGTGAAAATATTCCTAATTGATTGATCAGCTTTTAACGGGCCGGGACATGCAATGCCAGGTCCATTTCCAGGAGACAGGGGGGTAGGTGGATGCATACCCCCACCAAACCATGACAGAAAAAAATGAAAAAATATGTAAACACATTTTACGTCACAATACAACTTTTTTTCAAATTAAACACTGAAGAACATGATGGAAATATGTCGTGAAGGGTGCTTCCTCCCACCAAACAAACAAACAAACAAATACTTTTTGTAAACTAACTCTATTAACTTGGGAAATAGAACATTTTTACATGAACGTTTTTTCTATTTTATTGAATCACATTCATTATCAAAACAAAATAGAGCTGCAGTTCAGGACAGTTACATTAACCCTGCATTCGTCTGATGGTGTTCTTGATGCTTCACAAACATGTACGAATCCAGCATTTCTCAAAAATTCCCATCGCGTTGCTTTCAACAAGTTGTTGCACTAAAAGTTTATTCGTGTCGTCATTCCGGTGTCAACATTTGGGTCCGCGCAAGTATGCTGGAAGAAAGATGGAATGCTTCAAGCACTGCGCAACTTCAAAAGCAAGAATATGAATCCCAATTCCGAGACGATCATTGAAAATTTTTGCCCCAGTTGGAACCGGAGATTAATTTAAATTGTGTAGATGTTTTAATTTGAACCTCATTAAAACGTTTTTAAAAGTTGAACTGTTTTTGATTTAATTGTCTTTGTTCCAATTGTTTCAGGCATATGAAACCTTTGGTTTATTATAATTCCTTCCTTTTCCATGTTTTTTTTTCAGCACTATTATTAGGAAAATCCAGAAAATTTTAACGGTGAATCTTTTTGCAAGACATCGTTTGGTATAGTTAAGGTTAAAAAGAACGAAAATTTATTAAAATTTTATTTTAACTTGTTTCAGCCCACTCAACACTCAACGCCTCAGATGAATAATAATTATAAGAGACACCGTGATTTTGCAAGCAGATCCACACGTGTGGGCTGATGACATGCTCATACATAATCCAACATGCTCACAATCCACACGTTGTGAAAAGAGACTTTAGAAAATGTTGAAAAATTCTTCTACAAATTATCATTTAAAAATTTTGTTGAAAAAAAATTGTTGAAAAAAATTTGGCTGGGAAATCACAATATGCAAAATAAGAGAATCCGAGATGTGATCAGCAAATAGAGCGGAAGTCGGACTGGCACCATTAACCGACTCAACTATCTTATTGTTTATGAAACAGCCGAGTCAAACCGAATTTTAAAAAATTGTTCTGTTAAACTATTTCATTTATTTAATTATTAAAATTTTTCTCATGGAAAACTCATTGTAACGTGTCTAAAGTTAACTAGGGTAAAATAAGCTGTTAATTTTCATCAATCATATATATATACATATATTACGTGTCATCATCGTCGTTATAGTTATGCGTGTTAAACATACACATCAACGTTTACAAATGTTTAAATGTTAATGCTGAAAAAATAGAAACTGTTTTATTTTAAATTCTTAATATTTTATCTGTTTTTTATGTTCGTGTCAGTTTTATGAAAACAGATTTTGATTTGGCACTTAAATTTTCCACAAGTGTTATGCATGGAATTTACACGCTTCCAACGAACACAATGCAGCTTATTGTAGCTACACTTCACACAACTGAAAGTACTTAACGATAAATTTTTTCATTTTTAAAATCAGCTGCGACGTATCTTCAATATTTTTATTATCAAGAAATGAAAAAAGAGTTCTCATGGTCATCGGACGGCCATCTTCGCCATTTAAACGCTTTTTTGTCTATTTTTGATCCAAATAAGCGAATTAAATTAGGATTGTTTAACACATTTTGTAATAAGATTTGATTCCGTCTTTTAAAATTTCGTCGGCTGGTCCGATTAACCGACCTCTACTACAAATGTGAAAATTTCCAACTTGTTTTTTATAAATGTCTCTTGCTGGTTGGACAATGGACAGCGGTATAATCAATATTAATTGGAAACCTCTATCTCTCAGTCAATTGTTTGAATTGCTTTCATAACTAAATCTCATGAGCCATAGAAATGTGTATCAATTGTTCAATTCACATATTACAATATGTTCACTTTTTTTTATTTTAGACTAGGTTTAAAGTTTTGACTTTTATTCAGGTATGATAAGATGATGAAAAAGAAGAGAAGAAGAAGATGATGATGACCGTGGTGGAACACGATGACCATTAAAGGAAATTTGCATAATAAAGTATATAAACATCCAAACAACACATTTAAAAAAAAATCCAAATAAATTTTCCAGGCCATCTCAGCTATGCAGATATGCCGCCACTGTTTCTTTTCTTTAAAATGAGGATGTTGTTACATTGTTTGAAGACAGCAGTCACTTAGAAACGTCGCGTTTGAAAGTTTTTATGGCTCCGTGTAATGTTTGCAGGACTCTGTATAATGTACGAATGTAGACTTGCATGCCTGTACTCGCTGCACATCTCACTTGACGAAGCTTTTATAAATTTTCCATTTAAATGACCCTCGTGAAAATCACTCTCTGCATTTTTGATTTTTTTATCCATTCAACAGTTTCTATTTTTTTTACAGCATACCTCAATGAGACCCAAATATTGTGGTGTACCTCAGTTTTATCTCTCTGTTTAGTTTTTTTATTCGCTGATTTTTTTTTTAATAGAATTCTTATTGGTTAGTTACTTTTATTATTTGCATCACGTACTGCCTCTTTCAATGTCATTGCCTGATTATGTGATTTTGAAAAAATATGTGACCCGGAGTAAAAGTGTTTTTATTCATTTTGAATGCGTCAGATGATTCAATGATCCGAAAGTGAGAAAAAAATTTCCAACACAATAATGCACCTTCTTTTCAATAACTTCACGTCTCTCATTTCTAACAGCTGATCATTTTGTATTATGCTGGTCTAGAATGAAAAATCTAGTAAAAGATTTGAAATAGGAAAACAATGAGAAATTAATAAAACATTCATATAAGAAATGAAAAAGAAGAACATAATGGAGAACATTTTAAACAGTTACTTCTAATTGGCGGTCGATGAAAAAATTGATTTACAGCGAAAATATTGCAGATGAGATAAGCCGCATGCAATTTTTAAGTATTCGGACCAAGTTATGCTTAACCGACTCAGCGGGGACATACAGACTCGCACGTTTAAAGCACTGCAAGATTTTCTGCATGAGGCAATTTATAAGCTGTCATCTTTCATTACTTCGTCGTAAATAAAAAAGCTTTGGAAGAAGTTTTAACAAAAATTATTTTAACCTTTTCAGATTTCAAGCCAAAAAGCACAGAGGCAATATTTTCCCTTCAGCATCATCTTCATCATCATCACCGTCATCATTATTTTCATCATCATCTTCATCTTCAACATCACTATTATCACCATTATCACCATCGTAGTCGTTATCGCTAGCATTGTTCAAAAAATAATTTCAATAATTATTTTTTTAAAAATTAATAACAAAACATTAGTGGAACAGTGGCTAATTATTAAAGAAAACATAATTAACTGAAAATGCCACAGTGTAACCTATCACACACAATCAGTGTATTGCAGTGAACACTGACTAGAAACATCAATAGCATTAACTGGACATCAATTTGAACTCAGTGAGGCAACGCCACGACTCTTAAAAAAACATTAAAACGACATCAACAATAATAACAAATTGTAAAAAAGTAAAATCAACAGGCTTGCAACACTCCTAGTGAATCGACAACATTCATTTGAACAACAACTGCCCAATAGAACAACATCGTCAATAAAACGTGCTTATGAACCAGATCATTAATAAAATTTACGAATTACGAATTCTTCAGAGTTTGTGAAAAATTGGGACCAAATATTTTTTTAATTGGTTGTTTGTTTTCAATTTCAACATGATCTGAAATAAATTTTTGTTTTTTCTTTGTCTTACATTAGCTTACTTTTACTTAATTTTGAAAGCATAATTTGATGCTCCATTAACAAATAACTCAAATTTAAAATCTAAAATTGTAAGGAAAATACTTAGTGACAATGGTGATATTTTTATAAACTAAAAACTCGTAAAATCTTCAAAAGCAATTATGCTTCCAGAGAATTCTTCATTTCATCATCGTCATCATTCTACACCACTAATAACGTATCTTCTTTGACTGATGATTTGTTAAAGAAAAAAATATTGGCTAATTATATTCATGTTTTATAACATTTGGGTCCATTCTCGTTTAAAAGTGATTCACGTGCTAATAATATTCCTAAATAATCTTCCAATATTCTTAAATATTCTACCAATATTCCTAAATATTCTTCCAATATTCCTAAATATTGTTATAATACTCGCTGTCGTAATCGATTTACGATGCGACGGGTTCAAATCTTCGATTGAATAAAATACTCCAAACAGTTATTAGTTATTAAACTTTATTTACAGAAAAAATCAACTAATCGTTTATTTCTAGCAAATTCAAATTAACGCAACAATTAACTTTTAAATTGTTTAAAATCTATCGCTATGACAACGTCAACAAACAAATCAAATATCGCTTTAAATAATTCACCGAATCGCTATTCACGAAATCACAAAATCACGAATTTACAGAATCATGAATTTCACTAATCACGGATTTCACTAATCGCTAATCTTCTTGCGACGTGCGCTTATATACTCTTCGCAAGCGTCGTTTCTAGATTCTTCTAGATTGTCCGATTCTAGCATACTCTAGAATGCTCCAGTCACTAGAACATTCTAGAATACACTAGAATCTAGTTCGTTGGGTAGCACGGTTATAACACTATTCTTCCAATATTTCTAAATATTCTAACAATATTCCTGAATATTCTTTCAATATTCCTAAATATTCTACCAATATTCCTAAATATTCTTTCAATATTCCTAAATATTCTACCAATATTCCTAAATATTCTTCCAATATTCCTAAATATTCTACCAATATTCCTAAATATTCTTCCAATATTTCTAAATATTCTAACAATATTCCTAAATATTCTTCCAATATTCTTAAATATTCTTACAATATTCCTAAATATTCTTCCAATATTGCTAAATATTCTTACAATATTCTTCAATATTTGCAAATGTTTTAAAAATATTTTTTAGTTCGAACTATCCGAACAGTACAACTGATTTATTTAAAAAAATACAAAAACGCTTCCCAATTCATTAAATTTACTCACTCGAAAGACTTGAGTCGCAAGCGGTTTGAATTAAATGCGACAAGCAAATGTATTTAAATTTATATTTAAATACATTTACAAGCAAATTTACTTCTATTTACAGGTATGTACATTACATATATGTAAGTGGGAGTTATATACGTAAGTAAGTGCATATAAAATTTTAAGACATTATAAATAAACCATTGTACAATACATATACATATATATATATATATTTAAATATATATTTAAATATATAGTTACATATATATGTATATGTATATATATATATATATATATAATATATATATATATATATATATATATATATATAAATCGCCCCGTGTGGTTGCCATACATAACATAAGCAAGCCTGTTACAGACAGAAGTTAGCCATTGAAATCATTCACTCGTCAGTGGATGGACATTTTTGTTTAGAAGGACTGCCAGCTGATAAGATCACCATGGAGATATGGTTGCTAATGAACTTTTGTTTTGCCATTATTTTTGTAGAATTATAAATTAATGTATAAAAATAAAAAATTAAAAAAAATATTTTGCAATAATTTTAAATTAATTCGCGGATTAATGTAGGAAAGACATTACTCCATTAATCTTGTTATGAACTACAACACGGTTTATGAATTTGACGGTTTTATTTAAGGGTTTTTTTTTAATAAACTAAAAAAAACTTTATTGGCTGATTATATATAACAGTTGATTAACTCAATTTGTACGGAAACAAACTTTTAAAGATTTAGTTGGTGGTGTTTATAACGGGTTGCAAACCTAGCATCCAGTTGCAATCAATCATGAGACAGAACAAAGAAACATTTTTTGATCGTTGCCGAGAAATCGACGAAAAATAATCATATTGCTCTTCACGAAGTTTCCTGCCTGAAACTTGTGCAGTTGTGGCTGGTTTGTAATGCAAAGTAAGCCAATCATCACATTTTAGCGTTTCCTTGATTACCTTTGAAAAGAACAAATAATAATAATCATTATAATTATTTTTTATTTCTTATTATAACAATTATTATTTGTTTTTACCACCATTTTCGATACAGTTCCAGGTAATTTCTGCGGTATAGGACAATCAATTTGTTTTACCTCATCACATATTCGACTTTACTATCACTATTGTCACCTTCACAATCTCCATTATTTTTCAGTTACAACAACATGTCATCGTCAATGTAACATAACAAAACATAACTGAACAACTTAACATAAACATAAAAAAATAATAGACGAGAAGAACATACATATGTCCATATCTAAATGAAATAAAATGTTATTATAATATCATTATATATGATGACTTTTCAAAAACAGAAACGAAAAACACACACACGCACACACACACACACATACACTCACATATATATACTTCTAAATAAAATGAAGATGTTCGTTATACACGTATACATACACACACGCATACATACATAACAACATTACAGTAAGCAAACAACTAAGTGGGTAAACTTGAAGTTCCTAAGCCTAAACACAATATAAAGCCCCATGTTAAATTTAAAAATTAAAACGTATTGGCAAACATCTGAGCAACAGCTACCACCACACACAACTACTACAACCTTCATAACTTTTGGTGGCCTGCTGCTGTTGGCTGCCCGCAAATTTGTAACAATTACAGCAGGTATAAAAAACACTAAACAACAGTATTCACAACAACTACCACAACTACCACTACCACAACTACCACTACCACAACTACTACTACCACAACTACCACTACCACAACTACCACAACTACCATTACCACAAATACCACTACCACAACTACCAAACTACCACAACTACCACTATCACAACTACCACTACCTCAACTATCACTACCCTAACTACCACAACTACTACTACCACAACTATCAAACAGCTCCACTGCTTCCACAACAGCTGCAGCTACCACAACTACAATAATTACTCTAACAACAAATGCTACAACTACAATAACTACAACTACCACAGAAGCAACCGTAACAACGACGATAGAGGCTTCAGCAGAGAAAAGTGGAAACATCAGTCACCATTACCATGTCACTCATCATCATTCTCGCTACCATGTAATCTTTGTCGTCCTCACCATCACCATTATCATCATTGCCAGTTACCCATTCATTCGTCATCGTCAGCTTTTAGTAGTTGAACTAAGCAGCGATAATATTTAAAAATCAACCCTCTTGTTGCCCAAGAGCTAACAAACAAATCAGCGACAACAGTTTTCACATGTGCAACAATAATATTATCTACAACAACAACCACAACAACAACAACCACAACAACAACAACAACTACAACAACAACCACAACAACAACAACGCGTGAATCAACACATGAACAACTCCACACATCATCGCCAGCCACTAGGCCAGCAACACGAAATAATGCATAGTGTACTGCAACAACAACAACATTTTTTCCAACAACAACAACAACAATTATTTCAACAACAACAGCAACAACTTTTTCATCACTATAAAGAGCAAGAACAACAAAACGTTCAACGGCAGCTACTCGAGCCGCAGCCACACTCCGAGGCATCAAGCTACAACGAAGAGCAGACGAGCAGTGATGTGTCAGTGTCCTTCTTGTTGTACTTTCTCTATGGATCAGTCAGTCTGGTCACTGTGCTGGGCAACGCGTTGGTCATCGCTGCCGTTTTGAAGTTCAAGTTAGTGTTGTTGTCTTAGTGTTGTTGGTGATGATTTTGTTGATGTTGTTGTTGTTGTTGTTGTTTTAGTGTTGTTGGTGATGTTATTGATGTTGATGTTGTTGTTGTTGTTGAGGATGATGATGACGATGATGATGTTTTTGTTGTTGTTGATGTTGTTGAGGATGATGACGATGTTTTTGTTGTTGTTGATGATGATGTTGATAATGATGATGATGTTGTTGTCGTTGATGATGCTGTTTTTGATGATGATGTTGTTGTTGATGATGTTGTTGTTGATGATGATGATGTTGTTTATGTTGTTGTTGTTTATGATGATGTTGTTGATGATGATGATGTTGTTGTTGTTGATTATGACGTTGCTGATGATGATGTTGTGGTTGTTGGATGTTGTTGTTGTTGTTGTTGATGGTGATGATGTTGTTGTTATTATTGATAGTGATGTTGTTGTTGTTGTTGTTGATGATAATGTTCTTGTTGATGATGTTAATTGTAATATCATTGTTGTTGTTTTTATCAGTTGATGTTTGTGATGTAATTCTTAATTTTTTTCGTTGATTTTCATCTCATTGTGTCTGTTGATACAGGCTATAAAAGTAGTAGTAGTTGTTGTTGTAGTAATAGTTGTAGTAGTAGTTGTTGTTGTTGTTGTAGTATTAGTAGTTGTTGTTGTTGTTGTTGTAGTAGTAGTAACTGTTGTAGTAGTAGTAGTGGTGGCAGTAATAGTATTAGCAGTAGTAGTAGTAGTAGTAGTAGTAATAGTTGTAGTGTAGTAGTTGTTGTTGTTGTAGTAGTTGTAGTTGTAGTAGTAGTAGTTGTTGTTGTAGTAGTAACTGTTGTAGTAGTAGTAGTGGTGGCAGTAATAGTATTAGCAGTAATAGTAGTAGTAGTAATAGTTGTAGTGTAGTAGTTGTTGTTGTTGTAGTAGTTGTAGTTGTAGTAGTAGTAGTAGTAGCAGTAGTAATAGTAGCAGTAGTAGTTGTGTTGTTGTTGTTTGCTGTTGATGTTTTGATTGTTGTTGCTGCTTCTGTTGATTTAAACGTTGTTACACCTTCCTTTAATATTTTTTTCAGATTTTAATTTTTTTATTTTGAATATCAACCAGTAAAAAGCTTTCTTATCAGTTTTTACATTTTGTTATATTTAGGTTTTGTTTGTTCGTTTGTTTGCCTGTCTGTCTTTCTATCTATCTTTCTGTTTGTTTGTTTGTCTGTCTGTTTGTTTCTCTATCTATCTGTCGTCTGTTTGTCCGTTTGTTTGTCTGTCTGTTTGTTTCTGTATCTATCTGTCTTTTTGTTTTTTTTGCTTGCTTGCTTGTTTGTTGTAGTTTTGTACGAATAAATAATTTTGTTGAATTTTTTTACTTTTTTACATCCCATTTATACACCAACGAATGATTTGATCTCTTTATGGCTATTTTTCGTGTTTTTCTCCTTATCTAATTTAATTAATTTTATCCTGTCTTCTACGTGTTTGCGAGAAAATATGATTGATGTTATCAAGGGAATGTCTGCATGGTGAAAAAGCTGGTGCTATTTCCTCCCTCCTTTCTTCCTTTTTTCATTTCTCCCTCTCTTCCTTCCTTCTGCAAGCAAACTTGTACACCATTCAAAAAAACAATTTCAAGTGAATTAATTCTATAAGACATCAATGGACGACGATGAAGTTCTAAATGAGGTTTTTTCTCTGCAAAAAAAATCCATTGCGATGTTTGTTAGTGTGGATGTTGCTGAATGGATGTTTGTGTCTTGTGGGTGTTGTTGGATGGATGTTTGTGTCGTGTGGGTGTTGTTGGATGGATGTTTGTGTCGTGTGGGTGTTGTTGAATGGATGTTTGTGTCTTGGGGATGTGGTTGGATGATCTTTTCCGTTTCGAGCGAGTTGGTGATTTGAATGAAAAAATCCAAAAGTGGTTGTCATCTCAAATTTCATCTTTCAAAACGTTCAGCATCATTTTCTTTTTGTGCAATTTATATTAATTTAATTCTTCAGATGCTTGAGCTTTCAATGGAGGACCTTCTGTCCATTCCCCTGTGACAGTTCTGCTTGCAAAAAATTGCTTTCATTTGGCACTGACATTCGAATGAATCAGTCAATATTTTTACGCATTTGAGATTTTGGAATATGTTGAAGTTTTGTCATTGATGCGCCTAAGCATTTGTTTCACAGGATAAAAAAGGACAAGAAGCAGTTTCCATTCTGATAGAAACTTCAAATAAACGGTTCGATTAGTTTTTTGCTTTTTTAGACTTTTCTGGATTTTTTCCAGGATTTGTCCTTCTCTTGATACAAAACGGAGAAATTTTTCAATTGCGGATCTTGCTGTGGGTTTGAAATTAGTTTTGTTTGTGACATCTATCTCGTTAAATAAAAAAACAAAATTAAAAAACTTTATTAGTTAATTATATATATTATATATTAAAATGTAAAATATGTACGGTGGTTTACAAAATATGCGTGAATAATAAGTATGGAAGTGCTTTTTGCTTTTCAGCCTCTATCGGATTTTTTTCCGGATTTGTCCTTCCAGGGTGTAATTGGCATACAAATGTGCGAGTCAATGTGAATGTTTGTATGTGTGTATGTGAGTGTGTACGTCCGTGTGTATATGATTATGTTTTTATGTGAGTATGAATGCGTATGTATATGTTTGTTTTTTGTTAGTTTGTGTGTGTGTGTGTGTCTGTGGGTGTGTGTGTCTGTGTGTGTTTGTGTGTTTGTTTTCTTTTTCTTTCTCATTCGACATTTAGTTGGTTTTAAAGATTTATTGAAAATTATTGTGGAAATGTTGCGGCTGAAAATGAAATAGAAGCCTTGATAATGATAATGATGACGTATTTAATGATGACGATGATGATTATAATGTATATGATGATGATGACGATGATGATGATGATGACGACGACGGTGATGATGATTATACCGCCTACACAGAACGATTATTATGACAATAGTTGGAGTGTTTCTAAAAATAATTTTTATCGCGATGATGATGATAAAAATGAAGATGATGACGCAGATGGTGACGATTACGATGACGAAAACTTAGTGACTATGGATAATTGTACACTGCAGAACTAAAACATGAACGGTGTCTCAGAGCCGATAAAATAATGTACTACAGTACATTCCAACATAACATTCATAACGTTATTGCGGTGTTGGCTGTTTATTAATATTATAATTAATATTATTATAATTAGTATTAATTTTGATTTTAATATGATTAGGAATTTAAATTTATTATTTTTTATAAAGTTATTTTATCCTTCCATTTGATGGATACGACGATGATGCATTCAACCAAGACCTTATTTTCTGGCAAAGAACTCTTTAGTTGCTTTCCTTAGCGTTGCATAATTTATTTTTATGATTATTAATATAATTATTAACCTTTTTTAATTATTATTTTTATTATTATATTTAAAATGCTGCCAAACTAACGCTACCAACGTTGTGCCAGTAAAAACGAAATGAAAGCAAATTGTGCCAGTGAGTCATCATTAAATCTGGCAGAGTCATAAACATGAGAAGCTAAGTGGAGTGGGTGCTGGTGATATAAAATTTTTTAAAAATAGATTTTATGTTGAGTTTTGTTTCATCTTTAACGGAACGTGTGGTTTGTTTATATTAAGATAGAATAAATTCAAAAATGAATGGAGTCAAACAGCTTTCATACTTACTTCTCGTTCAGTTTATGCTCCGATTGAATAAACACAAAACTGCCACACTTATACATGAGCAAATGAATTTAAACTTGATTTAGACAGTATTTAATGTAAATGTGAAAAATATAAAAGGTTTCTAACGTACTTTTGAAATTTTTTGAAAGTTGATGATCATGAAATTAAAAAAAATTTACAATAAAAGTGTTTTTCAATGTTGATAACAGTTTTGGAAGCCACATTTAAATTTTGTTTCATGTTGCAGAGCGTTTTATATTTTTCTCCTCCTACAACAGCCCCCAAATATCAGGTTTCTCGTCTCGTTGATCAACAGCTCTGTAGAGAAAGGAAGCTGGCCTTGCTACAAATGATTTTTGTTTTTTTATTGGATAAAACATTCTCAAAAATGGTTTTGTGCTTTCTCACGTCTGCAGAACCAAAATTCGCAACCTCAACAGAATACTGCAGCCACCCGCGGTTGAACCAACATTTCCGCGGGGACTTCCCGTCACCTGCGCTAAATCAATCAATTAAATTTCATAAACAGTTATCATGTGTATTCCAACCTACAAAATTAAAACCGCAACCTCCCTCAATTGCCAAAAAGCGTCACTACGCAAAGTTGCGGTTGCGGTTAACCCCCTTGGGTGCGTGTGTGGGTGTGATGCGTATATATAGAATCAATAAATATGTGCGTTTTGTGTGAAAAACACTTTAAAATATCTGAAAAAAAGGAGCAAAAATGATGCCCATTAAGTAGCCGATGTGTTTTATTGATTTTTAATAATGAGATAAAAATGACAAATTATGGAGATCACTTTTTCCAGTTATTGGTTGTTAGGGTCCGTTGCAATTTATGTTTGAGGGGCACATCTCCCAAAAATTTTTAATCAAAATTTTACGGCAAAACTGTTTTCATTTTTTCTTCAGCAGTTGGTTCAAATAGTTTGCAATATTATTTAATTATGAAATTTTTCATTGCTTATTATTATTATTATTATTGTTGTTGTTGTTATTATTAGTATTATTGTTATTAACTTGTTGACATATCTTAGAGAACAGATCAATGACCAAATGGTTCGTTGAACAACATGTCTTCAGTTCAGTTCGTTTGTAGCCTGCGCACTTGAACAATTTGTCCCGAATATCTAGGTGATGCATCGTTCTGAATTTAAACCTGAGACCGACCATTTTGCATTTATCTATCGCTTTCTTTGTCCTGACATCATTTCCTTCTTTGTCCTGACCTAATTTCTTTCTTTGCCCTGACATCATTTCCTTCATTGCCCTGACATCATTTCCTTCATTGCCCTGACATCATTTCTATTTTAAAGCGCAAAATGCGTTAATACAAATTTTATGTGAAAAAAATTTAAAAGCGATGATTAATAAAATTTTTTTCAGAATCATATTCAGGCACAAAATCATTAAATGACATTTAAATTTTGTTCGCCGCGTTAGACTGATATGCGATGCACTGATCCTAATGTATCTTTAGATCATTCCGTAGAGCAAGAGCGATTGTTCTAGCAAATGATAACATTGAGTGATACATGAAAAACTGATGATAAATAAACGGTTGACAGTACAAAATTGTTGATAAAGAAAAAATGCAACAGAGTTGACCACAACTTATTTATAATTATGGAAGTTTCTTGTTTTTACTACTGTTGTCTTTTCTACAAAAACTTCAGTTTTATATTTGGTTAATTTGACGTTTATAAATGTGAATAGTAGGACAAAAAAATCTGAAACCTTTCAACATCAATTCAATTTTAATGAAAGTTAATTAAGTCTGTGATTTGATGCGTGCATTGGCATTGGAGGAAATGGACTGAACAAGTAGGCAGAGCAAGGACAAGGGAGTCGCGATTACGAGATGAAACATATGAAGTTGATATCAGAGTGTTAAAAATATCTTTAAACTAATGTTTAAATGTCTTTCAATCATTGATATTGTACTGGCACATTATAGCACCATTTGGAGCTGCAGTGCCGTTAAAATCTTCAAAAAAAAAATCATTGATATTGTTCAATACACTTGCTGGTTTTTGTTCACTTTAATTCATTAAGATACAAAACAACTATTTAAATTAACTTTAACATTTGTTTTTAAAATGTGAAAATAAACAAATAGATGCGCCAAATAACTTTTTAGTTTTTAAAATTAAAATCCTCGCTACAACATTCATATTTGGATACTATATTGCAACGCTATGTTCGTTCATTGCAAATTAAAATCGAAATTCCGTTATGTCAAACAGTTGAGTGCCTGCCAACTCCGTCTAACTTTAAATCAGAATTAATCAAAATAAAAAAAATTAATAAAATTAATAAAAAAAAACAAAATTAAACATTCTGCCATCACACTGATTTCTCCGGACGTTAATTCAAATTAACATGAACGAATTTAATTTAAAATACTGGATGACTATGGTAAGAGAATTAAAGGAATTCATATTTGGTTACTATTGTATAAGATATACTTGTCAAACTTTTTGCCAATCTCACAAAGGTTGTTAGTTATTTATATGTTTGAAAGAATTATTATTATTATTATTATTATTTATTATTATTATTATTATTATTATTATTAAAAAGATAATTATTTATGGCAGGTCGATGCGAACCACGACAAACATGTTCATCATCAACTTGAGTCTGGCAGATGTTGCCCTAGGTCTCTTCAGCACACCCTTCCAATTCCAGGCTAGTATGTGTGTTTCAGTCTTTATATATGTGTGTGTGTGTATGTGTATGTGTGTGTGTATGTGTGTGAGTGTGTGTGTTGCAAAAAGTTTATTAATGAAAATTCAATATTTAATAATAGGGGTTAATATGTGTAACATTTAAGATAACGTACTATCGAATGATTTCTCGGGAACTGTAAACAATCCCATCACATCAAATCTAGAACTGAACAAATTTCTCATTCGTTTAAAAATTCATTCTGAAAAAAGTAAATAATAAATCAACTAATAAAATAATTAACAGACAAACCAAAACATCAAATAGATAAACAAAAAAAAAGATAAATAGACAATAATTAAAAAAATATTAAGATGAAAACGTTTTCATGGAACATGATTCGCAATGGGAGGAAGTGCAGTTGTATCTACCATCAACAGAATTAAGTGACTGTACCGCGTTCATAATTGCACATCTCTTATAAAACTAACATTATACTGTTGAAAAGATATTTGCGCTCAAACTATAAATTATTCATAAATCAACAATCTGAATTTCTTATTAAGTTCTCGGCAAACATTGAATTGATTTCGTTTGATTGACACAACATTCACTCTCGCCAATGAAGAGTTCATTAGAATATTTTTATTTGGACTTTTTTTTAATTTGGTTTTATCTTTTAGTGATTTTATGCTAGTGTTCTATTGTGGCGAATCTAGGAGGGGCCCGCTGTGAGCAATTTTTTAATAAAATCAGGAAAAAAATCGTTTTATGTATAAAATCGACCAAAAAGGTCGTCAGCCACACTACCAAAAAAAATCTTGCCCACCCCTGTAAAAATTTGCCCCACCGCATGAAAATTTGGCCTCCCCGTGAAAATTTAAACATTTTCAAAATTGTGGACTTCCCCATCAAAGTTGTCTTGATCGGCTACTGCATGCTTTTAATAGTTTGTTTTTTAAACCATTTTTTCCACTTTTATTTCAGTTTCTCATGGTGGTTTATTATTTTCTGAAAATTTTATCTTTGTTTGGGCCCTTTTCATTTTTCTTTTTTAGGCATTTCATTAAATAAACTTGTAAAAAATTAAGCTAGCCCAATAGTTAGTAGTCATATTTTTAGAATGTGTTGTGTGTAGATTTGAAATATCGTTGCTGTGTGAACGGATCGGTTTGTTGAGGTGTAAGCTTGCTTCACGGTTGATTAAATAAAATTCTTATAAACGAGTGTAAACGATAAACAACGACGCCAGGTTAAGATCCCTCCACTAACAACATCTGAGGAAATGGAAAATTGAGACCAATTTAAACGTTTCCTTTTTTTAATATAAATAGTATTTCTCATTTGATGTTAAAAAATCTTTCAGATAACAAATTAAATAAAAATAAATATATTATTTCCAAAAAATCATATTATCAACAATTTTAAGAATTAACTGGACGTAAATCTTCAATTATATGAAAGTAGTTTTAAACACTTTGATCTAACGACACATACATACTAACAATGAGACACACACACACACACACACACACACACACACACACACACACACGACAACACACACACAAACACAGCAAGAAGTTATTCACTTCAATCAGATTTGCACTGCTAAGGAATTGTTATTCCAATTGCATTTCCTGTAAACAATGAGTTTGTTGCCATCTGGTCGAAATCATCATTCCAAATTAATTTATAACATTGTCTAATTGATTACACCTATTAAAAATTTGTTTTCATAGTCACAAACATTTCTATGTGTTTTATTGAAGGATACACGAAAGATAATCATAAAACAGTTTTAGAGAGGCAAGTGTTGAACTGACATAGTCTGGTGATGTTCAAAGATTTGTTGCTACTTCTATGTGAAATTATCAAAAAACTCGTAAAACCAACCTACCTACCTACCTATCATTCTATAAAAATCATTATCTAATTTAAAAATTTAGTGCTATTAATAATTTTTTATCAGCCGCATAATGTGGTCAGAGTTTTTTGGGTGTTTTAAAAACAAAATTATTTCTTTAAAATCAATAAATAAACCTGTTAAAAGTTTATAAAAAATTAAAATAAATGTTTTTGAAAATTCAAATGTAAAAATACTTTATATTTATAATAAATTAACTCTGAAACAAGGCTGGAGTACATGCACACACACGCACATATATATATATATATATATATATATATATATGTATATACCTACATAAAAAATTATTTAAAAATAAATTCACACTATATATGTAAGAATTTCATAATAAGAATTACAGCAAATAAGCAACTAGTTGACAACCACTGAAAAATTCCACTGAAAATGCACTTGTTTGCAACGTAGAAGAGTGCACGCACGGTAGAACGCACATTTCAACTGAACTCCCACATGAGGTGGATTGCTTGTTCGTCTCTGTGTATACTCAACATAGTAAAATGGTGATCGCAGGCCAGACCAATGTACTCAAATACACGTAATATAACCAAATAATAAAATTAAACTAAAATTTAAATAATATTTAAATAATAACAAATAATCCTAAATATCAATAGAAATCCTAAATATCAATATAAAATTGAAATAAAAAAGGACGAGATACAACTAATATTAATTAGACAAAAATCTTTAAAACCGTATGAGAAGAAAAACGCTAGAAGCAGGAACGCAAGTTAAATTACAATGAAAAGCAAGACGAAAGGTGGATGATGAAGGTGTGCGCATTGTGTTACAAACTTATCCACGCATCTGCCCTCCGAGCCTCATCTTTCCTTTCATTCAGAAAGATGGTGACATCCGAAATAGGTGGCATGACGTTTACATCTTGTTTAAATATAAAACAATTCCAATGTAGGCCGTTGCATTTCAATAGCTTCATAGAAGTGTTTAACAATATTATCAAATAACGACTAAAAACCAAATAAATGGTTTTATTTGACTGCTAAAGCGTTCGCCACACAGCAACATTTGCCAGCAGACTGAATAAAATGTAGGTATCGAACCTTTGGAGAGTTTTGTCTCCCGAAATCAACCTAAATGACTCGTTGTTGCGGTTGCGTTTGATGATGAGAACACCGAACCAGAAGAGCAGTGAGCGGGAGAAGAAAAGAATAGTATTCGTTAGGATAAGCTGGACACGTGTCCCTACCGGGGACTCATCAGCAGCCCGAATACCTATCAGAATAGTTATCGCAGTTTCTTATAAAGCCCGCAAAAATCACATCCTTAGTTCGTGGTGTTTTAGTCGCTAGGATTTTCAATCCGACAACACGCACCATCCGTCATAATGTAAATAATATTAGCTCCAAATCTTTTACGTCATTTCATTTTCATGTCGTTGAATCACATAAAATCACTTGACCTTGTATTTATTTATTTGAAGTTTTGATTAATTCAACTTTTTCCATAAACATCTTATAAAATATATACTAACGACAATTTGATAAAAAGATTAATAAACAACTTTAAACATTGATGAAATTTATTTGAAATTTTGCCTTTAAATAAATAGATAACTTGTCGTTGATAAAGTAGTTGTCGGGCTTATTATTATAATTTTTTATCTTAACATCATCACCTTCGTCACGCATTTTGTTTTTTTACAATTCATAATTTATTTATCCAGCACAAACACACAAGCTGAATGATGGCATCACACATGTATCATGTGAAAGGTGAGGATGTCTCTGCATTCGAACGCAGTCACTGCAACAGCAATGCCAGGCACCTCAACCATTATACTATCTTTTTCATTTTTTCATACTTAAGTTCGCACTTATAGCAATAATCTTGCCATCACCACCATCTGAACCTACTCAGCAGCATTGCCATCACATCTGTGAAATTTTTCGAAATGGCAGAAGTAGATAGATGGCGGCTCAGTTTCAAATCTGAAATCTGAAACTTCAAACAAATGTACAGAAGTTCGAGAAACTGGAAATCATCGTTACAACACTCTTACAATAATCACCGAACCATCATCATCTCATCGTCATAGTTACTATAACACTACCATCGCCAAATAAACGCCCCATTATTATCACCCTCATCGCCAGACCGCCATATCCCAGACCTGGTCCATGCCTCATTTCGTCTGCACAGTTTCAGCCTTCGTGAAGGAGATGAGCATTTCAGTCAGTGTGAGCACGCTGGTCGTCATCTCGATCGAACGTTACAAGGCGGTCCTGCAGCCTCTGAAGCCCGGGTGGTCCAGCAGGAAGGTCCTCTGCATCCTGCTGGCCGTCTGGGTTCTCTGCGTTATTTCCGCCATCCCCACTGCTCTCGCTTACAGGTTACTTATTGTCTCACGTGGGGTTTTTAGTTTATCTGACTGTTGTTGTTGCTGCTGTTGTTGTTGTTCAGTTGTTGTTTTTGTCGTTGTTGTTGTTCAGAAAGTTGTTGTTGTTGTGGTTGTTGTTGTTATGCAGTGCTTTTTAATTATGTTTTTATGTTGTTGTTATTGTGGTTGTTGTTGGTCAGTTGTTGTTGTTGTTGTTGTTGTTCAGTAAGTAGTTGTTGCTGTAGCGTTGTGCGTTTTAATTATATCTTTTTAAATTTCGTTTTTAATTATTTTAAATTTTCAATGTTTACTATCGTTTCTTGTTATTATAATATTGCTTCTTGTATATTTCTATAGCTCTTGCCAAATGTTTTTCAACCTACTTGATGTTTGTGAAGCTTTTGTCGAGGCTGTCGTTTCATCACTATATAATTATTGTATCTGTAGGAAGATGTGTGATGATGTATTGTAGTCGTTGGGTGATGTTCGTTCGTCGTACTGAGACAATTTTGTTTTATTGCATTTTGTTAGTTATGTTTTGCATTTGATGTTTGCATCATTCACGCACCATTCATGCATCATTCACGCATCATTCACGCATCATTCATACCTTCTTGTATGAATGTAACTCTTGCTGTAACTTCTTCTTGTATTTCTTGTTGTAACTTCAGGGCTTAGTTAGTGATCTTATACACTTGAAAACGAAATAATAAATAAACTTTAGCGGTTGTACACATTCTACAAAATTTATTTTCAGACGCATTCATTTTTTTTTATTCACTCTAAGACATTTATTTTCAGACACATTCATTTTTTTAATAAATTGCAAGACATTGTGGACAACAACGACAACAACAACAGCTAGCTAAAGGGGTTGTTGTTTTAATAACCTTCAGGAGTCCTGCGACAACCCATGCATACTTCATGAAGTTTCGAGGAATCGTCGTAGAAGCAAAAATAATGAAAGTAAAATAAAAAGATCGAAAGCTGCTGAAGGGCAAACGAAAATAAAAATCTGCTTTTTAAAATGACGCGAACAAAGGAAGACGATGACTCGAAGTTAAAATTGAAGAATTAAAACAATTGTTTTGAAGCAGACACTGATCGACAACCTTGGAACATAACCCGCAAGAATGCCAGGGGGATTCTAATGCAACTTCATCAACTATTGAACGAAACAATTGAACTGAATTGAACAAAAAATAAAGCAACACTCTGAATGTTGTAAAAACAAGAATAGATTTTATTTATATAATAATTTCTTTACTTATTTATATTTATTAATTAATTAATTTATTTGACCTCAAAATGAAACAAAATAAGGCACATGGGGGCCCGTGACTCGTTGAGCCCAGTCACAGCTGCAAAATTAATAATCCAATTAACACAGCGTATCCATATCGAAATGGTTGACCTGTTAGCTATGATTGATTGCCATCATTATCTCCAATCATTGAAGCAAATCGAGTGCAAACATCTTCTGCTTAATGAAAATAAATATTCGACAAATATACCTAACATTATATACAGTGACAATTACAAAGCCGTCTAGTATATTAAACTAACATGAAGTAGCAAACATCGGTAGAAACGGTGGCGGATCTGGGGTGAGCGGAGAGGCACTGTCCCCCGTTTCGAGCGTAATTTGGGTTGAAAGATGGTAAAAGTTGTTGTTTTAACGTGAAAAGAAGTTTTTCTGAAGGAAAAATTGGCATTAAAACCCCTCAGAGAACATTGCATCCCTCCGTTGAAATGTTGCACCCCCGTCGAAATGTTGCCTCCCTTCGAAATGTTGGTCCTCCTGTTAAAATATTGCCCCCTCGTAAGCACAGAAACATTTTTGAAAAAATTTGTGATAATCCGCCCCCAGTTACCAAGTTTTGTGTAAACTTTCCCGATCATCAAGTTGTTGTTGGAAATTCTTCTTCCGGTCATTAACTTTTTTTGAAAATACCCCTCTCCTGGTCGACAAATGTTTCTCAAAATCTTGCCACCCCCCCCCCCCCGTCAAATTTGTCTAAACCCGCAAGTGAGTAGAAATCTGAGGCAAACGTTTTGTAAAAGTCATCAAACTATTATTTTAATCCAGCAGAGCTAAAACTTATTTTGTCTGATTCAAATTTATTTCCAGAACGTGACGAGGAAGTATTTTTCAATTGAAGGAAAAGTAAAAGAATGGTGCTATTTTTAAATATAACAAACACTTTTTAAAAACTGTATCAAATCGAAGACGCGTTTGAAAATAGAAAAAAATTCTGCGTGGGAGGACTAGTGTAAGAGAATTTTTTTAATTTTATCGAGTTTTTCACGCAAATAATGACATTGCCAAAAAATTTCGTGACATTAAATTGTTTTCATCTTTAAAAACCACCACACAACCCCACCACCACACAACACCACCACCACACTACCATCAACAGTCCATCCAACGTCTTCACCACAAAAATATCATTAGCTCGTACTCGCGTTGGCATCATCTTAAATCATTGTGATTTTATCTTTGATCTTACCTACCCTGTTTAACGACAACAACAACAAGAACAACAACAACAAGAGCAACAACAACTAGAGCAACAACAACAACTAGAGCAACAACAACAACTAGAGAGATAAACAACAACAGCGGGCAAAATTCTTTCGTGATTTTCACGTTATACTTTTTCTCAAAAATAAATTTCTATAAGTTAACATTTCAAGATTTTATCTTCAAAGTATCCTAAATTAAAATGAAATAAAACTATTTCACGATCGTGGGGTTATTATCATTTTTCTAAACATTGTCCCCATCTTCGTATTAAATATATTTATAAATACTCACAACTAGTCCCATCATCAAATTAATAACAATGACAAACAAAACCCTCAACATTCATTTTCTGCGATCACAAACTACCGAAGAATGAATGATGCAAGGAAACACTCTCATGAACGCGAAACGCATTTTCCGATTTTTTAGAAATTTTTTTTTTTAAATAATTTTTTTTAAATTTTGTTAACTGCAACTGAATTTTTCCATGAATATAATTATTGATTCATTTAAAAACTCATTCGCGCGTTTCAAAAAGGGTTTAAAATTTTTAATGATTGCTTAATTTTCAGTCCTTTCAGCATTCCCAGTTACGTAATTATAACTTTTATAACTGGCCTTTCTACGGATAGTTTTGAAACTTTTCACGTCCGAATTATTCATCTTTAATTATTATTATTATTATTTTTAATGATTGCTTAATTTTCAGTCCTTTCAGCATTCCCAGTTACGTAATTATAACTTTTATAACTGACCTTTCTACGGATAGTTTTGAAACTGTTCACGTCCGAATTATTTATCAACTGGAAGGATTAAAAATCAATCAAAACATTACCTGCTCCCTAATATGCTGCTCACACGGACTCTCTTTCACAAATTGTCGTCATCATCATCATAGTCGTCGTCATCATATCGTCATATTAGAGAATTTATATAGCGCCTTTTATTACTACTCAGAGGCGTTTCTTGAGTTTAGTTGAATTGAAGCATGAAGAAAAACATTTTCAGTTCTTACGAAATTGTTGAACAGTCAATCCTGGTTGATGCAGACTGTCCGGCAAACTGTTGGACCTGCGACTGCAATCCGTGAGTGGCCGCCACCCCAACCGTGTCTCCGGCAACAACAGAAAAATTTTTCGTCTGAACGTGTCGGAATACGATGAGCTGTTGTTGTTTTATATGACAAATTTATAGACAGATAGAGTGGACCTAGACCGTTTAGGCATTTATACACCAGAATGGCGATTTTGAACAATATTCTTTTTGTGATTGCTAGCCAGTGAAGGTCAAACAGGGTGTGGCTTACGTGGTTCAACTTCAATCCTCCAGAAATAATTTTTGCCGCTCGATTCTGGATAGACTGCAGACGATCAACCAGTTTATTGAACACTTCATGAAAAACACTGTTGCAGTAATCCAATTTTGAATGGACAAAATTGTGTGAGTCTTCGAAGCAGAAAACAGCATTCCTTAGTAAGTGCCCTGATATGCTTGTCCACTATCCCAGTTTAATCAAATATGATGCTCAAGTTTTTAACAGATGTGCATGAATCGACAGCAGTGTCGAAAATGTTGATTGAGTTTATGCCACTTTTTTGTAACTACTGCCACGTACCGACTGGCAAAAGCTGTGTCTTGCTTTCATTCAGCTTTGAAAGTTCTTGAATAAACAAAAGTTTTGGCAAGTTGAAACCTTAAAATTTGCATTTTAACCACATTCAGTCCATAGCAGGCACAATCGATCAGGGTTTGAAGGAAAGAAATGAAATTGTGAGCACAATCACGTTCGACTGAATAGAAATATTCATTCAAGCAATACACTATCTTCAATTTTTAATCATTTTTCTGTAGCAACATTTTGAAATGAATGTAGAAAGTGGAACAAGTTAAAAATTAATAAAATTAAAATTTGCATTTTTTGATAACGGACAAACGATTTCATATTTAAAAAAATGGTTTTTCATTCATTTTGAATGATTTAAAACCGGTCTGAGCTTTGTGACCTTGAAATATTAAAAGATTGGAAATAAAATTTAAATATTTATAAAAAATCGAAAATTATTGAAACAATTTAGAAAATGTTTAATTATTAAATCATAAAAGAAAAATAATTAAAACAAATTAACTTGATGATTTTTGAAATAATTTAGAATCAAATAAGATGCATAAAAATACTTCAGTAAAAAGTTAAAAAAAACCATTCCATTATACATGCAAGACCTTTCAAAGTTAACGAAAAATAAAAACAATGGCATGATCTGTTGATAGCTAAGGAAAATCAGAGACATTATTCGTGAAATTTCGCAATGTTTTTAAGATTTTCTTAAAAAAAATTTTAAAAAAATATTAAATTATCATTATCTATAACAGTTATTCACAATGCTCGTTACAAATGCTGCCAAACGTAATAACTGTTGCTATAATGTTTTTTCGGCGTCGCGATGGTAAAACGGTAGAATCTCTGCCACCAATGGCGAAGAGATGCCCATGCCCACCTATCGCATGCGATGTGTGCGTGTGGTGCCCTGTTTTGTGTGTATTTTTTACATG